TGAGGAGTTTCATCTACAGAAATATCAATTGCATGCACTTGAATGTCATCCTCTTGAAAAGCTAAATCAATAGGTTGTTCTGCTTTTTCTGAAATCTCCAGAACAGATCGTGCCTTTATATTACAAACAGCTAACCATTCATCTGTTGTCCTCTTTAGAGTAGGATAAGTTTCAAGATACGCCTGAGTAGCTTGCACTGCCATAATAAATGGTTCATATTTATTAAAGGTCCTTCTTTTGTAAACATCAACAAGATTATATTGTGCATGTACTCGAGTACCATATTTTGGTATTGGATCAAACCAAGAACATTTAAAATAACACGGTTCGTTTGATTGGTAATGCATGATACATTAACTGTAAAATCTCTGTCAACCGACCGTAATAATCAATATCATCTGCACTGTGGCTAGAGCCCTTGATGCATACACCACTGTTCATCGTAGATCTCTTTGAACCATATCTTTCAGTGTGAAATTAATAACCATTTACAACATATCTATTAAAAGACATAACCTTATATAACGGCCCTTCTGCAAGATCTTTTATGATTTGATTGCCAATGCCCGATGAAGGATCATATGCCTATTGACATTACAGGTAATTAAACACAATTTAAGATTATATTTTACAAGAAAAAAGGAATAGTTTATTAAGACTTACGTATTTCTCAAACCAAGATGCAAATTCTGTTTCAAGTTTAGCATCAATCTCGCTATTTTGAATATTTGGTTGAATTTCTCTCAAAGTATCTTCATAAATTCTAATGAAAGAAAGCTAGTTTAATGTAACAATATCAAATGTACGTAACTGATATTGATATCTATATCATGATTAACTTACCTTATATATGGTTTCACTTCATCACAATTCAACAAAACATATGTACGAGCCGCATGATATTCTTTATCATCTAACCTCCTTGGTTTCTTCTTTCCAAAAGATCGTCCAGCATGCTTGAAAATAGAAAGCATTTCGGGATATTTGTCACCTCCAACCCTACAATCATCCGAATTTCGTGGCACTTTCCTATGCCTTGTCGACACATGTGACTTAAAGTAGTGCGCACAAAAGGATGATGCTTCTTCAACCAAATATGCATTGCATATAGAACCTTCAACTTTATTCTTATTTTTTACTTTGTTCTTCAACTTAAGGAGATACCTTCAATCAATAGAGTAAATCAACATGTAATTAGTTATACATTTATATATTACATTTATGTATCTTATAACATAATTTAGTTTATTTACCTCTCATATGGAAACATCCATCGGCCCTGAACTGGGCTAGCTAAACGTGCTTCGTAAGCTAAATGGATAGGAAGGTGTTCCATAGGATCCCAGAAGCTCGGAGGAAAAATACGCTCAAGCTTACACGAGGTGTGAGGAATATCTTTTTCTAACTGTGCCATGTGTTCCTCTGTTAATGCAGTAGCGGTGAGATCTTTAAAGAAAAGACTCAACTCCGTCAATGGTTGCCATACATTTCGTGGAAGTAGTTCTCGAAATGCAATGGATATTAGGAGTTGCATAAACACATGGCAATCATGACTCTTCATACCAAAGAGTTTAAGCTTGTTCATGTCTACACATCTACCCATGTTAGACACATAACCATTGGGAAATCTCAACTCTTGCAACCACTTACAAAGCACTTCTTTTGCATTCTTTTCTAACATATAACAAGCTTTAGGATACTTTTTGCTACTTTCATCTTGATGCAACTCTGGACGATGACAAAATATTTTCAAATCTGCTATAGATTTGGCATTGTCTTTTGTTTTCCCTTTGACATTCATCACCGTGTTAAAAATATTATCAAACACGTTTTTCTCGATGTACATCACATCAAGGTTATGCCTAATAAGATTTGTTTTCCAGTAAGTCAAGTCCCAAAATATACTTCTTTTCTTCCAACCACATAAACTATTCTTTGCGATTCTTGCATTTATCGCTTCAGAACCAAGTTCTGTGACTTTCTTGAGCCCCAAATCCTCAATCTCCCTAAATATTTGTAAACCCGATTGTTCAGTACATACAACCTTATGTACTGCTTGACCCTTCTTGAATCACCTTTTGTTCCTTCACCACGGATGACCTGATGGTAAGAATTTTCTGTGATTGTCAAACCACGAGGTCTTTCCACCATTGGATAGTGTAAAAGCATATGAGTCTGTCATGCAATAAGGACAAGCTAATTTTCCCGTTGTACTCCATCCCGACAACATTGAATGCGCTGGAAAATCACTTATTGTCCACATCAATGCAACTTGCATTTTAAAATTATTCTTACTTGAAATATCATATGTTTGTGCCCCCTCCTCCCAAAAAATTTTTAACTCTTCAATGAGGGGTTGTAAGAAGACATCAATTTTCTGTTTTGGATTTTTTGGACCAGGTATAATCACAGATAAGAATATGTATTCATCCTTCATGAACATCCAAGGTGGCAAATTATATGGCGTGACTATGACAGGCTAAGAAGAATATTGTTGGCCTGATTGACCAAATGGATTAAACCCATCAGTGGACAATCCCAATCTGACATTTCTCACTTCAGATGCAAAACTTGGATGTGTTTGGTCAAAATGCTTCCAAGCAGGAGAGTCTGAGGGATGACGCATGACACCATCTGTTTCAACCTTTGTAGACGCGGAGTTAAAGGAAAATAATACATCTTCTTATAAGAAATATTAGTTTTCTCCTTGGATTGTTGATATTTTGATCTCTTGAACCGAGGGTGGGCACAAAACTTGCAATTGACAAGTTCGCTATCTTCACGCCAATAAATCATACAACCATTTTTGCAACAGTCGATCTTCTCTACTGGTAAGCCCAACCCTCGCATTAGCTTTTTGGTACTATAAAAGCTATCTGGCATTATGTTATCACTTGGAATTAGTTCTGATATAAATTGACATAACTCATCATACAACTTTTCAGAAAAATGATGTTCTGCCTTTAGATTCAAAAGCCGAGCAACGACAGACAACTGCGAATGTCCGTGTGGGTTTCCCGGCCAAATTTCCTGTTCTGATGCTTTGAGCATATTATAAAGATTTTGCATGGTTGGATTTGGTTCCTCTTCTATATTACCATCAAAAAAAGGCCCACCAACATCAAAAACCATAGACTGAAATACATTATGAGATTGAGAGTTTATAGTTGATGATCATTAAGTACAGTTGGATGTGGCATATAACTTTCTCCATGGTGATACCAACGATAATAATTCGGTTTAAAGCCGTACGTTCCAAGATGTGTCATAATTGTAAACTCATCCAATATATTTTTATTTCGACACTTACGATGATTACAAGGACATCTTAGCTTTTCACCATCCATGCATTCTGGATGTCTTTTAGCAAATGCAACAAACTCCTCAACCCCTATAATAAATCTAGGATTTATGAATCCATCTTCCAATACTCTAGCATACATCCACTCACGATTAGAATTATTCATATTGTACACTTTAACACAAAGAATAAACATGTGTTAGAACTTACATGATGACAAACACGATTATTTGTTGTAATTAAAGTTGTCTATTATCTAGCTGTTTTTTAAAAAGTAAATTTAATCTATTAGAACATATTTGTACTAAAGCAGACATGTCAAGCTTGCATTCTACTATAGAATCCAACAGAAAATGGCACTAATTTAACAAGATTCAATGATAACTAGAAAAGTCACAACTTTCCTACCTAACTGTATCAACATCAATAAAAGTCCCAAGGAAAAAACATATGTAATGCCAAATATTGAAATAGAAATTACCATTCACTAGATAAATCAGAAAAATATCTAGAACTGCGTACTTCTTGGAACTGTTAATTTCTTTTTTAATCTTTCTGTTAGGGAGGTGCTTGACTCCTTGCCTATATGTTGAAGAAACTGATCCAAAAAAGAGAATGAAACAGAAAATATAAATGACTATAGTTTAAGACATTTAGACAAGATAAATAAGATAATTAATATTGTTTAAGAGCACTTAGTTTACTTTATGAGATTCCAGCAATAAAAGGATATAAATCAATTTAGAGTCAGGAAGCAACATATATAGCAGGTATATAACCAAAAACAACCAAAAGAAGGTATAATAACACAAGTTATAGCAAATTAAAAATCACCACCACTCCTAAAGAATTTTTGAAACACTCAAATGCACTCAATATGAGGCTTATCCTACGCACCCGGCCCCTTTCGACAACTAAGAGTAATTTTGAGTTCCTAACCATTGCGACAGTAACTCTACCATGAATGTTATATCCTATGAGGAGGTTGATGAATTGTCTATGAACTATAATGATGAATTAGCTCAAATAGGGGTGAGTCTTGTTTTAACAACAAGGACCATATTCATCTTAGTAACCAGAAAATTATTACCTAAAAAATATCAGAAATTTATTAAGCATATATAGAAAAACTTTTCAAAAGCTGAAAAACAAAAGCCTGCACATTCTTCATTTTTTACTTTTTTCCAAGACAACAAAGTTGATCTGCAATAAGCACAATTGTTTCCTTTAGCAAAAATAAAGCTTTTCCTTTGCTCAAAATTAAGACCAAATCATAAACAAGAAACTAAAATCTCACCTATCTCAGAAGTATTTCAAACCCACTTCAAGTGAATGACCCAATATCAAAGCTTAATAAAGACCCTTTAAAAATTGTACCTAAAATAGTTGCATGCAAAAGCTTTTTAGCTAAATCGGAGTTTTCTAAGCTTAGATAGAAGAACCCAACAGCAATACCCAAATGTTATTCACTTTGGAAAATAACATTCAAGAAAAACATAGACAAATCTGAACAAAAATTGAAAGATCCAAAAGCTATTGATTGTGGATGAAGAGACTGGAGCAAAACCAAACCTGCAAGTGTTGCTGTGGTACTGAGTCTAGAAGGGTACAAGAATCGCCATTTGTGTTTTGTGTTGAAAGAGAGAGAGAAGCAAGGAGGAGTGGAATGAGAAAATGGGTCTAAGTCTTAAGGGTTTTGTGGAATGAGAGGTTTGGCAGAGGAAAACTAAAAGGTGGGCCAAATATTTGGCGGGGGAAACTAAGAAGTGGGCCAAATATTTTGGAAAATAATTTGTAAGTTGTTCAAATATTTGTAAAATTGTGACTGAATGTTCCGTCAAAAATTATTGTCACGAAAAATAAATCTGTCACAAAATTATTTTTATTAGATAATTTCTCTTTTATAATATTGTGACGGAAAATATAATCTGTCACAAATTTTGTGACGGATTTTTGACAAAGTATTGCCATTTCTTCTCTTCTGCCATAATTTTGTGACAAAAATATGTTCGTCACAACGACTAAATTTCATATTTGTCACAAATTTATCACAAATCCATTACTCTTAGAATTTTTTTAGGAAAAAATAAAATCTTTTGATAATTTCGTCCATGTAAGGTTGATTTGTCATAAATGCGTCACAAATCCGTCACAATTTGTGACAGGATGTTTCGTCCCAAATATTCCGTCACAATTTTACAATTTTCCTGTAGTTAATCCACCTCGTAATCCAAGATCACAAAGTCAGTTGACAAGATAAATTTGTCCACCCGGACAAGCACATCATCAATAATACCCAATGGTCTCTTCATCGTTCTATCCACCATTTGTAATCTCATGGAAGTCGGCCTCGGTTGCCCAATACCCAAAGTCTTGAATACTGAGTAGGGCATCAAATTGATACTAGTCCCCAAATCACATAGAGCCTTAACAAAATCCGCACTCCCAATGGTGTAAGGAATGGTAAAAGCACCGGGATCTTCAAACTTCGGGGCCATTGAATGCACTATTGCACTAACTTGGTGAGTCATCTTTATAGTTTCACAATCCATAGATCGCTTCTCTATCACCAAGTCCTTCATGAATTTAGCATAGCCCAACATTTGTTCAAGAGCCTCCACTAAAGGCACATTAATGGATAAGCTCTTCATCATGTCAATGAATTTTTTAAACTGATTCTCATTTTCCTGTTTCGCGAGCCTTTGAGGATAAGGTGGAGGTGGCCTTGGAAAAGGAGCCTTGGCTTTAGGCACAACTGACTCCTGCATGTCTATTATGTGTTCCCTAGACGGGTTCACATCATTTTGAGTTTCCACCTCAGTATCTTGAATATCAATCCTCATTTCTTCATTCACATTCTCATCAATCACCTTTTCAACCACCAAAGGAACTTCATCTTCTTGCAACTCAACATCATCAATTAAGATTTGCTTTTGTTTGGAGGCATTCACATCACCGCCTCGTCCACTCTTTGTAGTTACCGCCATAACATGATTGTTCCCACCTTTCGGGTTCGCAACTGTATCACTTGGTAGAGCACCCTTTGGGCGAGTTTTCAAGGACTGTGAGATTTGGCCCAACTGAACCTCCAAATTCTGAATTGAGGTATTGTGGGAAGACAACTGAGCATCAGAATCCGCACTCTTTTTCATCATCTGTTCGAACATCATTTCAATTCTCCCCATATCATTTCTAGAAGAACTGGGACCTTGAGATGGAAATAGGGGTGGATTGTTCGATTGTTGGTACATTGGGGGCATTTGAAAGTCTTGCCCCCGATTTCCTAGGTTTTCATTATTCCATCCACCTTAATTGTTGTTGCCACCCCAATTGTTATTACCATTCCAATTTCCTTGATTGTTTTGATTGTTGTTCTGATTGCCCCAGTTGGAGTTTTGGTTGTTGTTCTCCCAATTACCATTGCCTTGTTGTTGTTGATTGCCCCAATTGCCTTGGGGTCTCCATTGTTTTTGGTTGGAAGAATTGTCTCTTTGGCCTTGATAATTATTCATGTATTGCACCTCTTCACTCTATCCATCAAAACCATCATCTTGAAATCCACCACAATCATTGTCAAATTGCTCCAAATTCCCTTGGTTCTGTTGACCTCTTTGTCTTCTTTTGTTGACAAGCATGTTAACACCCTCCATGGCATTCACTTGGCGAGGATTTTAAACTTGTTGTAACCGTGCATTTGCTAGTTGGTTCATAGTAGTTGTCAACTCGGCTATAGCATGCCCATGATCATGTAACTCCTTGTGCAAATGAGTGACCGTGGGGTCACCCTGGGGCACGTTGGCTCTACTTTGCCGCGCAGAAGAAGTGTCAGCCATCTCGTCAAGAATGTCACAAGCCTCATCATAAGACAGTTTCATAAAGTTGCCCCCAGCAAGTTGGTTCACTATGCATTGGTTTGTTGTATAATTGCCCCGGTAAAAGGTTTGTTAGATCATCGCCTCGGCCATATCATTGTTGGGGCATTCCTTCACCATTATTCTATAACTCTCCCACATCTCATGCAAAGGTTCCGTGGGTTCTTGCTTGAACGTCAAGATCTCATCTCTCAATGCAACCATATGCCTCGGTGAGAAAAATTTTGCAATGAACTTATCCGCCAACTCATCCAAAGTAGTGATGGAATGGTTGAGAAGTCGCTCAAGCCAATCAAGTTCTTTCCTTCTAAGTGAAAATGGGAAGAGTCTCAACCGCAATGCATCCTTGGACACATTAGTTTGCTTGCTCCCCCAACATGTATTCACAAGCCCCTTGAGATATTTGTAAGCATTTTGATTTGCAGCGCCCGTGAAATACTCATGTTGCTCCAGCAATGTCAGCATCACATTGGTTATTTGAAAATTGCCCGCCCGGATCCGGTGTGGGACAATTGCACTTGTATAGCCTTGGTTTGGAAGCACTCTAGGATCCACTCTTGGAGGTGGCGGAGGAGGGTCTGGAATAATATCATTGGCCTGGCGGCCTCTCCTTTGTTCGTAAGGCACAACAGGGACCTCATCTTCAAAATTGTCATCTACTTCCTCCCCCGGTGAAAGATCTCCAAGAGGTGCATTGTTTAAGTTCGCTGCCATTTTGTACCTGAAGTTGTGACACAAACAAATTAGTAACACATAAGGAAAGAAGAACAATACACAAAACTATCAAGTTCTTTGATCAAATTATGATGGTTTTCAAGCCCGCACGCACAACCATAAACATGTATAACTTAACACACCGAAGGAACTAATCATTGCCACAATCATGCTGATTTAAACCATTACTAACTTACCCCCCACTTCTTCCAATTTACTCTTTACTTGCCTTAGAAATAATAGTAGCTCAATTTAAAACATAGCGAAACCCAACAACTCTCATCTCGAGTGACCTAATTCACGAGACCACATTGTCTCAATGCCCATGAACCATCTCATACCCTCCTTATGTGCACAATAGAATCCCCAAATGGTACACCCATTCTAAAAGATCCTCTACGAATTCGAAGTTGTTTTCTTCTATCTCTCTAATATCGCACCGCAAACCCCCGGTGCTAACATAGAAACACTCCAAGTCCCTTTCATAATCCACTAGAAAAACTCGATCCTTAACCACACAATGGACCCAAAATCCTTAGACACTGCACTTAAATTCTCAAACCTACTAGAACCATTGTTGAGGGTCACCACTCTGACATGGTCCCGAATATAATCCAACTCCAACGCTCTGTTAGCTCATAAACACTCCCAAAGAAGCAACCGGATGAATTCTTTTCCTTGTACATCATTTCCACAAGAAGTTTAAACTCTGAGTCTTCACATAACCTGCACATGAATCTATAAGGCGAAATATAACAAACATTCATCAAGTTCTTTGCTCGAGTTACCCTTGGTGTTCCATTTTCTTAGTCATAAATAATCCATTAATGCACCGAAAACCAGAAATCGCACAAGTAGACAACCATGCAATCCATTCATAGATGGTGGGCTACTCCACTTAGCTTTAAGCTGCCATCATAGAATGTAGAACCCACAAAGATTCCTCCTTCTCAATTACCATGATCTCGCACCGTCAACCTTCCAAACTTCTTGTAATCTCTTGTTAAACTTTTCATGAGAATTCTGAATTATCAGCCACAATTGCATATTCGACCTTCTGTCGGGTAGTAAGTTGAACTCTTCATAGAAACTTCATCAAAATCACGCGATTCCTAACCTGCTCACAGGAGATAACCCACCTGTGGAATCCAATACCGACATCTCCTAACGACATTTCCCTGGTTACAACTACCACAAAAGCAGTAAACCCTCCGGAGCCCACACTAGTCCACTAACTGTAAAAGTCGATTCATTCCCTATAGACATCAACAGAAGTTCGACAATACCTTCCCAAATCGAAATCACGTTTCACACCTCTTCATTTCTAGAAAACTCCTCTCTGCCGTTATCAATCCTCCTCAGTACAGTAGTCACCATCCCAAAATAAAATCCATAGACCTAGTTACCGTCTACCATGATTCCCGAATCGCTCTAAACTTTCTTAAAGTATGTGGCTATCCTGCCACAAAATCTGTGCACTACTCTGCCACCCCCCTCCCCCTCCGCTAAACTCATCCCCTTTAAGCAACTTCTCAGCCTCTGTTGTTCATACTTGACCGGCTAGTAACTCAATAAGCACGAGACACCTCCCACTATGTCCTTCCTCACCCTTCGCTGCCCAACTACTACCTCCAATCAAAATCCATACATGTAGCACCTGAACTAATAAATTGCTACCTGTAAGCACGTGATTTTTGACCCTCCCCGAGATTTTTCACATTTTTTGCGTGAATATGTGAA